ATAATTAAATCCCTGTGTACCTCTTTCTGATGGCATTGCCATCCCTCCCTTCCCAGAGATAACCACTCTTCTAGATGTGGTATCTTTGATATTCCATGCTTGTCCTATCTGACCGATCCCTAAAAATATATACGTAGCACAGTTTTGAATGTTTAAAACAACTGCTTGTATCACACTGTACCTACTCTACAACTTGATTTTTTATTTTCCTACACAATATCTCTGATAAAGCTTATAGCCTTAGTTTCTTTTTATTCTCAGTATATTGTTCCATGGTATAAATAGGTCACAACATATCTATCTGGATGGCTGTTCATGAATAATTAACCAATGTCTAATTTTCACAATTATATGTGGAGTAGAGTAGAGTCAGTGAACTGTGGATGAGAGCATCTTGAACTTGGTTGGATGTTACCCAAATCCACTCTAAAGCAGTGGTGGCCATTTATGTCTCCGTTGATGGTGTTGTGCGGGTTCCAAGCTGTCACATCCTCGCCACCCTTCTCCCTCTCCCCACATGGACAGACTTCTTCCTCTTTGCCAGTCTTGTGGATGTAAAATGGACTCTTCATTTGCATCTCTCACATGGCCAGTGAGGTTGAACCTTGTTTCATATTTTTGGCCATTAAGTTTTCCTCTTTTGTGAATTGCCTGTTGATATTTTTAACCTTTTTTTTAAAATTGGACTGTTTGTCTTTTTCTTGTTTGTCTTACACTTTCAACTTACTTCTACCAGGTCCCAAAGCAAATTCAGATTATGGCATTTCTCTGCTCTAGACTTCCAATGTCTCTTCTAGAACATGCACTCTTGCCACCTTGCTCAGTGGCCCTGGATGGCCAGTGAGCTGAAAATCAAGTTCAGCCCATTATACTCAGCTCCACCTTCTCTTCCAACCTCTCCTTCCACTGCTTCCCTGCAGACACCTGAACTCCAGCCCAATGCACACAACTCACTGCATCCCAGGCTCCTGCAGGTACCATCTCCTACACCTGGCAGGCTCACCTCCCTAGTTCAACATTCTACCTAAATGCCACCTTTCCCAGGATTATATATATATCTCCTCTCTTCTCAATTCAAAGTTACAGTTGCCTCTAAACATCACTGGTGACACTGTATCTTTCCGGTGACATTTGTAATTTCCTGTTTGAATAACATCTCACTTTACACACCACTTTTTTTTAATATAAAAGTACCTGCTCCTTCATCATGCCATTTTAACCTTCATTCATAATCTAATTTTAACCTCATCTATACAACAGCCCTGTGAGATGGAGTAGTATTATTACCCCCTTTGAGGAACAGCGCCCCAAAGGGGAACTAGCTCACCACCCAAGATCCCACACTGGCTCCAAAGCAGAGCTGAACTCAAAGGCAGGACTCCTCCGGTTCCATGTCCCGTTCACTGCACCACGCCTGTCATATTTACATGTGTTACCACTCCTTGTACCAACACCTTATGCCCCATGAGATTGTGGGCCCCACAGCTCCCAGTTCTAGTCCCCCCGCAGGGGGGCACTCAGTGAATATACTTTGTTACTGTGCCTGTTTGTCTGCCTTATATGTAAGTTCTGTTGCCGCGTCTATACTGTGTATACTGTGTGTCTCTCCTTGTTTGTATCTGTCTATACTCTGCGGCCGTCTATTGTATGTTCGTGTCATATATACGGTGTGGTGTGAACTTGTGTCTGTGCTGTGTATGTTTCTGGGTTATGCTCATGCGGTGTCTCTGTGCTGACCGCGCTGCCAGCGCTGGGTGCCGTGGCGTTTATATTGTGTGAATCCCGTTTGGGCTGCCCGGGGTCGCGTCTACGCTGTGAGCCTGCACGTCCCTGCCGTCTGTGCCAGCTGGAGGTCTGTGGCTGCGCGCAGAGCTGTTTCCTCCCCAAGCGTGTGCCCGCCCTGAGCGCCCCGCGCGGTGCTTGTCCCGAGTGCCCAGGCTGTGCCTGCGCCCCGTGGCGCGGCCGCGTCTCGGCT